CTGGATGGCGAGCGGCCCGGGGGAGGGGGCAGGCCGGAGGGAAGCACCCCGTCCCCCCCCGGGGAGGGCGGGCGGCTCTGCGAGGGGCTGGCGAAGGCGCTCTCCCCGGGGATGCGCAGGCTAGCTCTCCGAGGCCGTGTGGCACACAGAGTTCTGATCGGCACAAAATCTCTTCAGAGGCGGCGCGCTGGAGTCCTCCTCCTCTTCAGTTACCTGCAAGAGCCAGAGGCCGAGGTCATGGGAGCACAGGACGGCCACGGAGCCACGCAGAGCATGGCCAGGCTGCAGGGACAGCCCCCGTCACCTCTTGAGGAAGCCCCAGGGCTCCAGGAACCACTTTGGCCCGAGTCAGCTGGAATCACCGATTTACCCCACCTCCACATCCTTTCTTCATACTTTAACACCCAAACTGAACCAGGGGACAGCTCGGGAAAGCCAGGAGGTTTGAGGAGCTCCTGGGGAGCACTGTGGGATTGCAGAGCAAGTCTATCCAGTGAGATGTTTCTGCTACACGGGGCAGCAACAAGCGTGAAAGAGCCAAGCCAGGTCTGTGCACATTTAGACGTGGTTTCAATCCCCCTTCCCTTACCTGAGTCTCAAGGGGGACTGGCTCTTCCTTTGTGAGAGTGGGAGGCTCATCTGCAACTTCCGAGGAAGGCAGGGAGGGCTCTGGGGAGAACAGAAGGGTTAATGAAACTGCCAACCCAGGAGCACTGCAGGACCCAGCTCAGTGCTGAGCCAGAGGAGGTCTCCAGCAGAAGACAAAAGTCTCTGCTGCCGTGTCCACTTCCAGCAGTGCCTCAGTCACCCCCTGAACAAGCAGCACCTCCAGCAGGGCCTTCCCTGGGCCCAAAAAACCATCCCCCTCCTCCCTTCCCAGTCCAGCACCCACCTTCCAGTGTCTCCTGCCCCAGGGTGGGTGGCTGTGAGTCGTCCGTGCGGAAGTCGGACGTGTGGGCAGGACTCATGGACTCGCTCTGCTGGGGACTGGGGCTGGAGTTGGGGCTGCTGTCCACCTTGAGCTGGTAGACATCCGACAGGGAGCTCTGGTTGCTGTTCTCATCTGCAGAAACAGCACCTAGTGAAGAAGAGCACTTTGACCCAGGGGCACAGGCAGCCGAGGGCAGCACCAAGAGCCAGGGCCTTAGGGAGAAGGAAGAGCAGAGTAAGAGGCAGGGAGAGCACAGGGACTCGCTGTCACCATCAGCACACAGGCTGCTCGGCACAGGGCTCCCCGCTGGGGCGCAGCTGGCCTGCAGGAGGGGCTGTTTCTGTCTGGGGACTGATTTGGGCAGACAGAGAGTGGCCCTGGGCTAGTCAGAAGGAAGGCAAAGGGGCGATACAAAGCGCTGTGCTGCCAAATCTCCTGTCTGCAGCTTGCAAGAGCCCCTGGTGCTCGAAGGCAGGTGTCCTGCCTGTGTAGCAGGGTTCTGTAACTCTTCTGCTTGCGAGGCAGCAATCTAACGCCAGCAACAACACTCAGCACCTGCCTCTGGAGGGGCAGGCAATCCTGGCACATATCTCTTCCAGGTAAGGCAGTCCTAAACTGCAGACCTGCAACACTAACCTCACTGCATCTACTGGAAGCGCCAACACATTCCCTGATTTTCCTTGGCCACACTGACAGCCAAGTGGAGAGGCTGGGGACAGGCACATGCTCTGCTCCACAGTGAGTCCATGTGCTGCCTGAGCCTTGCCCGGCTCCGCCACAGAGCCTGGCCTGCTCCTGTCTGGCTGCTGTGTGCAAGGATCACAAGCAAGGTCAAGGAGATGCTCTGCTCTTTCATCCTAAGGTCCAGGCAAGTCACTACTGGAAGCAGTAGCTGAGGGCAGCTACCAGCCTCTCCCCATCAGGGACTGCAAAGTGGGAACAGGGACCCCCACTCCTCCAGCTCCCCCTGAAGCTTCCTACCCAAAGATTCCAGAAACAGTTGATTAAGATTCTTTCTGACTACAAAAATGAAGTTTCAGAAGGGACAGTCCAAAAGTGGATCAGCACTACCCTGCACTGAAGACGTGCTGCTCTTCCTAATACATGTAGCATACAAAAGAGAGCAAAATCCCAGCTTCCGTAAGGCCTTAGAGTCTTTCCCCAGCTTGAAAGTGGCTCAGCCAGACTCACCTTGGAACTCCAGGAGGAGAGAGGAGTTGGCAGAGGTGTCAGCTGGGAAGCCATTAGGTTCTCGGGCAGTGCTGCTACTTGATTTGGATTTCTCTTTCTTGAGGAGAGAAAGAAAAGCAGAAACATAAGGTTAGAGGAGCCCACCACTGGCAAGAGGATGCAGAGGTGCACAAACTACTTCGAGAAGCTACTCCCCCTTCTCTCTCCCAGCAGCCCAAAGGGCTCATGTAGGCCTCTTCCCTTTCTTTTTCGGGCACTTTCCTAACTGAGAGGCAAAGACTTCAGCTGTGAAGGGCTCAGAATCAGAGTAAAAGGAGTTGACACCTATCTAGGAGTACCACCAAATAAAAACAAGTCCTCTGGGGATTAAGGCAAAACAGATCACCGGCAGCGCGGGGGGATCACCAGGAGCCTGTGAGCTCTGGTGCAAGGGAGGAAACCAGCAGAGATCCCTCGGCACGGCCGCAGCGCCACGGGGCGATGGAGGATGGCGATCGGCAGACGCTGCAGCCCGGGCTCAGCGGCGTGCGGGCCGGCACTGAGGCCCCGGCCCCGCTGGAAAGGCCTGGGGAAGCGGAGCCCAGAGCCGCCCGAGGCTGCGCCGGGGAGTCCCGGGCTGACGACAGCGGCTCCGTCTCCTGCCTGGACTTCAGCAGCAGCGGGAAGTACCTGGCGTCCTGCGGCGATGACCGCACGGTCCGGCTGTGGAGCACCCGAGACTTCACGGCTCGCGAGCACCGCTGCCTGCGTGCCAACGTGGGGCTGGACCACGCCGAGCTTGTCCGCCTCAGCCCCGACTCGCGGTAGGGCCGGGCCTCGCCACGCTCCATCCGTCCCCAGCCCGGGGATAACTCGGGGCGTGTCGGCAGCGGGACGACCTGTGGACAGAGCGGCTGGTCACCCAGCCCAGGCCTTTGGGAACATGGCTGTGTCCCCGGGCTGTGTGTTGGTGACATCCCTTATAGGGTCTTAGCGGTGCCACTGATTCGTGGCCTCTTGTGAAAGTAACTGGCATTTTAATGTGGTTCTTGAGGCAAATATCCCAGCACCCAGCTTGCTGCACCCATAGAACGAGCTTGTTAAGGTCTTTTTCAGCCAGGCCCTGCAGCTGGGTTTTGCTGCTGAGCCTCTCCAGGGGGCTGGGGGGGACCTCTTGCTGGCTGGGAAGGTTGGTGGAAAAGTTCACCTTGGCATTTTGTGAACTGGCCTCTTTTAGAGAGAGGAAGGGATCTCATCCAGATGTGGAGTAATAAATTCTTTTCCATTCAGTGTTGCATTTGAGCTAAGATAGGGAACTTGCTGTCCTTGTAAAGACACAGCTTTTTATCTGCCAGTGTATCCCCTTCCCCAAGTGCTGCTGAGTGACCTATTAGCGTACCTGTTGCAGCTAGTCTGGGCTGCAGTAGCCCGTTCCATAACAATTCAGACTGTCTGTCCTTCTGCAGGGCATTCATTGTTTGGCTGGCGAATGGCGAGACTATTCGTGTCTATAAAATGACTAAGAAGGATGATGGCAGCTTCACCTTCACTGCAACTTCTGGGGACTTCCCGAAGAAGCACAAGGCTCCTGTCATTAACATAGGAATTGCAGAGACAGGTATGGAAATGAGCTGCTCACTTGTTGAGACTCGAGATCAGTTTTGATTTTCTTGTAAAGCAAGAGCTGCTGGGTTGAGAAGTGTTGGGAGGTTTTGGCATTCTAGAGGCCCATTTCTGCACCAGTACTTGATCCTTTGTAGTCTCTTAGGTGTAACTTTTTAGCCTTTGTTTACCACTGAGTGAACTGAAAGATGTCTTTTTCAGACAGGTTATATTCCTATAAGCACAGAACTGGCTCCCCAGTATGCACAGTCTCTTAATTTACATTTGCAGGGATGCTGTTGCAAAGAGGTCTGGTCTCGATATTGAGAGGATTGCTGTTCTCTGGCCCACCAGTCTCTCTTTAACCAGTCAAAAATATCTCTAGTGAGTTCATTTGGTCTATCTCGAACTTCTGGGATCTTCTAGAACAGAGGCTGGGGCAGGGGGGTATGTGTTAGTGGTGAGGGCTTGATTGATTAATGCTCCAGGTGTGTGACAGCAGGCAGCTGGAAGTGGGTGGATGTGAATTCAACTCTGTAATAGGAGAGCAGAGAGAATGTTAACTGAGACCTTTGTTCAGCTGTGAAAGTGAAAACTTAAACCTGCAACAAGTAGCTGAAAGGTAGACAGACAACTCCCTGTCCAGGCTGAGATGGAAAAGCAGAAAGCATTGCAAGTGGAAACAAGCAGGAGTCCAAAATGCTGACCCAGCTAGTCATGGATGATAGCAGTGTGACTTGTAGTCGGGTACCTGCCTGCAATCCATGACTTGAAAGCTACCTCAAGTTGTGTTTTAACCACCTGGGGAAGATAGTCTGCTGCTTTACTCCTGTGGCACCAGCTTAGGGCTGGGCTGACAGTGGGAGCTTGGGGGGGTGCTGGGGTGAGAAGCATGTGTGGTTTCTGAGTGCCCACTGCCAGTTGATGGTTCCTGAGGGCAAGAGTGTACTAAAGCAGAATAGGAGCTGAGTTTTCCGATACTGCTCTTTGCCCTGTCTTGGGAAATTGACACCCCTTGAACTTTGATGCTGCTTTTGGTTTTCTTGATAAGTCTGTGGCAGCATTAGACTTGGGTGCTCTCCTGATCTTTGCCTTTTTTCCCCCAGGAAAGTTTATCATGACAGCTTCCAGTGACACTACTATCCTGATATGGAGCCCAAAGGGTGAGGTCCTGGCCAGCATTAACACTAACCAGATGAACAATGCCTATGCCACGGTGTCACCATGCGGGAGGTGAGGGACTGCTCCTGCTGCAGGGTGGGGGGCTGCAGGAGTGAACAGGAACCTTTTTTTACTTTGGCTAAAGTGTTTCTCATTCCTAAGTTGTTCTGGTCTCTGGTGGCCTTCCGTAGTGCTCCCTTCAGCAGCCTGGTGTCAGTGAAAAGTGAGAACTTTTTCAGCTGACCAAAGATATGAATGTAGGAGTCTGGATAGGTTTGCCTTCACAGAGCCCGTGCAGGAGGAGGAGAGCTCTACAGGGCTGGCCCTGCAGCCCAGCTGAAGCAGGTGCTCTGTAACAGATAGCCTGTGTCTCTGCTTATCGTTCACCCAGGTTTGTGGCATCCTGTGGCTTTACCCCCGATGTGAAGGTGTGGGAGGTGTGTTTTGGCAAGAACGGAGACTTCCGGGAGGTGACCAGGGCTTTTGAGTTGAAAGGCCACACTGCTGGCATATATTCCTTCTCCTTCTCTAATGACTCAAGGAGGTAAGTGTGTGTTCTCTGCTGCCTGGAGCAGTACCCTCTTGCTCACCCTCAGGCACGTGAGCTCGCCCTTGCCAGCGCACGCCAGCAGCCTGCAAGGGGGCTGCCCCCCTATGCAGTGTCAGGGAACCTGCCCCATGCTTTTTCACGGGAGCCCAAGGCAGCAAAACCCTGACTGGTTCATGCCACCTGCATATTCCCCATGGGTTTTCCTCCGGGGGGTGACTATCTGTGCACTGGAAAGAGGACAAGGGCTGTCTCTGTGTACAGATTCACACTTCCCAAGGGATTCCTGGTTCACAGCCATAGCAGGGGAAGAGGTGCTGCCCGATTTCCTTACGCTCTCCTGTGCTGTGTCTCCTGGCTGCAGGATGGCGACTGTTTCAAAGGATGGGACGTGGAAATTCTGGGACACAGATGTAGAATATAAGAAACAACAGGATCCATACCTCCTTCTGACGGGGAAGTGTGAGGTGACGGAGCCTTGTCGCATCGCTCTGTCCCCCGATGCTCGCATTGTGGCTATCTCTAGCGGCACAGACATTGTTGTGTACAACACGAGGAGAGGAGAGGAGGAGGAGCGCTTTCTCGCTGTGCACGGACAGTGCATAACAGACTTGGCTTTTGACACCAACAGCCGCTACCTGGTGTCGTGTGGGGACCGGGCCATCCGCGTCTTTCACAACACTGCCGGTCACCGGGCAGTGGTGGAGGAGATGGAGACCATGCTGAAAAAAACTGGGAACAAAGCCACCCGGGAGAGGCTGGAGCAGCAGATCTCCACCGCCCGCAAGGCGCTGGCTGCAATCTATGGCAAGAAGCACTAATCCTCCCCCCACAGTGGCACAGCACACCTACCTATCTGCAATCAGAGGAGGACGTGTTCTGCCTTTGGAGATTTTTTGTTTTTAATAACACAACGATTTGTAATAAAAGAGTGCACAGACTGTGTGTCCAGAGCCTTCCTGATGTGCTTTGTGACCACAGGGCTGGGGGGCTGGATTGCACATCCACCAAGGCAGGGTGGGGGAAATCGAGGGGCCCTGGGTGACATGCACAGGGCTTGTCCCCACCTGCTGTCTCGTCGTTATCCCCGGTAGTGGTTGCTCGGACAGGCCTGGTGAGGTTTTCTGGGCTTAGAAAAGGGTGGTTTTGTGTTGGTGTTTCTTGGGGTTTTTTTTTCAGAGGAGCTGCCCAACCTCAATATCTATCCTAAGCAGTGCGTTAATGCTGCCGGCGCATAAGCAGGGCTCCTTCCCCGGGGCGCGGGGAGCTGAGGCGCTGCACCGCGGCCCCCCCAAGCGCTGTGCGGGCACTAAGCGCGGCCGGGTCCTGCCCAGCGCTGGGCGGGACTTGTCCCGACGTAAGATGGCTGCGCGGCGCCGCCCTGCCCGGGGGAGGGGGAGGCAGCGGCGCAGGCGCACTACGCACTGCCGCTCTTCCCCACCCCCCCCGCTCCCTGTTTCCGGGCGTGGCGAGCGCGGTGACGCAACACGCGCTGGGCGGGGACGGGGCGGG